ATATCATAGTTCCCCTTCAAATTTATACACTGAGGCTTGAATTCTTGAATACTTTAATAATGAAACTGAACAAATATCTTCAAAAGTAGTGACTGCTGGCTATATGTATACAGAGATAGATAGGATAAGTAAATGCTGTTGCACCAGTATTGTGCACTGAAGAGTTTATATGTGCTGTTACATTTTCAATCGAATTTTCCATCTACATATCTTATTTGTTTGGTCTGCATTGCATATTTTAAATGCAACATATTTAATGCATTTGTATGTCTATGCACAGACCTGTATTTTTGCTTTATATAATGTGAATTGTTTATACATATGTAATTTTACTTTTGGTTGCTGACAAATCTAACAAACACATGATAGCATTATAGGTAATCTTAATTAAAAAACATATCAACAGTAATCAGTATCATGTTTAAGTCGTGAATCTTACACACTGTACTAGGTGAAATTCGAAAGTTTCTAAAACATCAAGTAATTCTTAAAATAATTAATTGTTTCCTTTCTATACACAATATCTGCATAACCCAAACAGTCAAGAATGAAATATATGTTGTTGTTTTTTATTATTACAATCAAATCCTTAGTTTCATTCTCATGTTTACATCATGGGAATTTAGATCAAAATGTTATGGAAAAGATACTTTATTCAAAACAGATATACAGAGTTTTACTACAGAAACTCAACAATGTTCATAAGAATTTGAATTATGCAATCATCTATTCTACTCTAATACCAATCTCACTGCAAAACTAACAAGGAAACCACATTTCAGACAGTTTTCAGAGCTCTCCAGGATCATCTGCAGTAGTTCAGAAGCACAAGAAATTCAAATTACCCCACACTCTACGCTCTTGGCTGCAGCATACATAATAATTTTTTGGGTAATGATGGCAAAAAGGAGGCTTGATGCCTATTTCTGAGGGTCTGTTTCTCCTCAATGTCTGCAGTCAGAGTCAAACAAGTGCAACTTTTTAGCATTCTCCCATGTGCATGACATAAAAAGGTTGCTCATAATAGGTGTAAATTCATAGGTAGAAGCATTATAAAATATGACAAATGAAAAGTTTTTACAGTCACAAAAACTGTCTATAAATAATAATTTATAAGGGTCCATTTTACTAAGTTTACTAACATGAATTTAAAAAAAATGCAAATGGTACATAAACCGCTGAACTGAGAGTTTTCACCTAGAAAAAAATCCAAATATTCTTTTCTATAAAAATCAATCTCATGAAAGAACTAGAATCTTTCCATGGAATCAAAGTTGTATCTTTTTCAAGTTTTCATTGTGAGCAGAGAGAATTGGTGCAAGATTGTCAGAGTGTAATATGAAGATCTGTTTGAGTTCTCTTCTTTGCCACTATCTTATGCCGTCTCCATAGATGATCATTAAGATGTTCTCTTCGAACCGCACTGTATGGGCAGTGTTGGCACCTGAAGGGCTTCTCTCCGGTGTGAATACGGATGTGTCTCCTTAGGTCACTTGTCTGCTTGAAGGTAGACCTGTAGCAGTACGGACACGTCAGCACCACAGCGTCAGAAGCCTAGAAGAGAACAAGCAAGTCAGAGTCTATCTGTGTCTGCTGTTAGCTTGTCCTCGGCAGTTGCCACTTCACTTCACATAATGACATTTTCAATTCCTTTTGAAATGTTTTTTCAATTTCATTTGCAATGTAGTCATAACAATGAAAAAACAAAGAAATATTTTACATACATACATCTATAGTGCATAAACAACACATATGGTACATTACTCTGGTAAGTTTCACTTATAACATACCTCCACTTCCCGCTATAGCATTTCTGTTACGGGAGATCCTGTTCTACAGATGATCATGGTACAATTATTAATTGCTTAACTGACAATGTTTCCAAATGTTTCCAATCTTTTTTGCCAGCATTGCTATTACAAGAGGTAATATTCCCATAACGACTCACTGTTATGCCCATCCATACACACAAACTTGCACAAACAAACATACATGATTACATAAAAACAAACATGCACAAATAATGACATTCACTTCATTCTCTTTCTCTGTTCATCTCTGTAAGCATCTGTTAGGAATATACCTGAACTTCTACTGGTCTAATCTGATGTGATATAAAATATCATGTAGAATATTTAATATAACTGGAAAACTTGGGTTAATGAAGGTCCTATCATAATCTTATAATCATTTATTAATTTCAAAAAATACAATAAGAGTCAGAATAAGCAAAACTTAACTTGCTATTATGCTTAAAGAAAGAAAAAGAGTAAAACATTCCCTGTAAATACTGGATAAAATAGATCTTAATTACTGACATGCACATGAACTAACCTAACAACTGTGTTCTGCATCATACCACACAGCACTCTTATTTAACTGTGTAATATATACTTCTCCCATGTGTCTTAATATGTCACTTGGCATCTCACTCTGAGTTTTTCTCAAGTCAAAGCACAATGCCATTGCGTGATGGGAGTAGCACCACAACCCTCTATTT